ACATATTTTTTTATATTGTTTTGCTGAATAATTTGAATTTGGATTCTACTTTCCTGTATAAAGAACAAAAATATTTTTACTTAATTTTATTGCAAATATACTGAATTATTTTATTTGTTTTGTCGAAACTGTGTTTTCTTTTTCTTGTTTTGCTTTCTCTAAGTAAAGGTTACGGATTAATTAAAAAGCAAATGATAAATTATTTGCCAAGTGTCTATAAATTCACCAAGTTGTAACATAGAACCAAGCAAAACAAATACTGAATTCTGTTAGTGATATGTTGGATGAATCTGATAATTATTTCATTTACAATTATCAATTTCAGCCATCATATAATTTTAATGAAGGTAGGTGCTGCTTATTGTAATCACAGATATAGTTATTGGAATTAACACATTCCAAAACATATAAATTAAATAATAATACAAAAGTTTGCTTATTACAATCAGAAATTCATTTATAATTATCATTATAAACATAATGATAAATTTGAATTTACTTAGATGGTTAATGACAGCCAATGAACAAAACCAATAATATTTTTAAGCCATGTTGTTCTTATAAAAATGCCAAAAAAACAGTTTGAACGATTTAATTTAAATTAATTCTATCATACATGATTATTCTTAATGTAGAAAATGTTTGTTTAATCTTGCACTCAATATGGAATACAGACAGTACAGTAATACCTCGACTTACGCTACCCCAACTTACGCGAACCCGGAGTACATGATTTTCAAATCTTGTTGATTCATCTTTTGTTTGAGCGCCACGCAACTCTTGATTACTCACTCTCCCCCCCATACTATTGTTCAGCTTACATGTTTGGATGTGTCACGTGGAATCAACACATAGCTACAATTTATTTTGTGTTATTTATTTCTGTGTTTGTTATATCTACGGAGACTTGAGAGACTCTATGTGGTGATTTCTTGTAAGCATAAACGAATAAAAAGACGAGATAAGATTAACGAGAACATTTATTAGCTTACATACATCCGACTTGGATTTTACATAAATTGCAAAATTATACCCCGACTTACGCGAATTCGACTTACGCAGTTATCGCTCAGTTTCACCTATCGCGTAAGTTCGGGGTATTACTGTACTATAGTTTATGCTGGATAAACTATTCAAATAATTATTATTATAATTAATAAGCTTTTAAGTTAATTATTAAGTTTATTTTAAACATTTTAAATTTTTTAAACATGTTTTTAAATTATCTGATTCAATAAAACTAGATTTTCCATTATTTTCTAATTACTTTCACTGCATAATGTTATCACTTGGTTATTGTTATCAGAATAGGCTAGTCCCAGCCAAAGTGATTACAATAAGCACCTACTATATGTATATATATTTTTGTTTGGTATAGCAGTTATTTTATCTGTATTTTTAACATAAAATTTAAAAAATTTAATTATAATGGAATACATATTTTGTATATTGTTCTAATTTTTTAATTAATGATAGAGAAAAGTTGCATTTGCTCAAAACATATTAGATAAAATAATTTGTCTATTGCTATGTAGTATGTTAGCTTAATTTTGATTTGTTTATATAAATTAGAAGTAAATAAATGATAGATAATAAATTCAGGGATCATTAGAAATTAAATATCAAATATTATTTACTTTACAGTATATAAACTTTAAAAAATACTAGCAGTTTTTGTTATAAACTTAATTCTTTTGCAAAATTAATTTTCATCTGTTGAAAGAATTCAAGATGACTTTAAATGTTTTGATTCAATAATTTAGAATAGATTGAAGAAAAGCTTTTTTTAACAAATGAGTCAGTGTGTAATATAGTCACTCTGTGAAATTTAAATATAAAATATGCTATATCTATTTAGTAATAATGTGTATAATATATTTTATAAAAATTTTCTAAAAAAGTCAAAATTAATCCTGTAGATTGGATTTTTCTAATAAATAGTAAATGTTTTAATAATTATTAAAGAAAATTTTGATTAAAATATTTTTATTATACTATTTCAATCATCTTTACACTGGTTATTAATTAATATAAAGATAATAATAATTTTAAAATGAAAATTTTTGAGAATATATTCCATTGAAATTTTTTATATCACTTTTTTATTTCATGATTATCAATTAGGAAAAATAACCGTAATGAAGACATATTGTTACAGGTAAAAAAAATCAGGAAAACTATTCCAGTAACAGAATCAATACATACCTTGATAGAAAGAAAAGATTCAACTATTGTTTCATTATCTGTCATCACCATATTTCTTTTAAAGAAGCTTTTCAAATTAAATTCAGTTCATTCTGGTTTTCTTGAAACAAAAACTTGATTAATCAGTTTGGACAGTTCATTAATCAAAGAAAAAGTCACATGAATTACTAATTTATTCAAAATTCTCATATTTATCTTACATAAATATGTTGTATTTTTATTTTTAAAGTATTTCAATAATGGTGAAAAAAAAAGAGTAGCAAATGATTGATATATTTTTACATTAAATTTAATATTTACGTGTGATTTCTATATTTTAGAACCTTAGAATAATATCTTTTTGAGATATTTTTAAAAAAACTTAGTTTGTTTCAGTTTTGGTGACAAATTTTAGTTAGATCAAAACTATAATCCATACTAATTCATATATAAGGAATTTATGAAATACTTATTCTTCTTCATAACTTTTCTAAATTTATTTTAAATACAGTTGAACCCCACTTATACATTTCTTAGTTGTGTGTTTTTTGTGATATACATTAAAATATTTTCTGCACAGTACTTTTTATCATTATAAAGCCCTTCAATTATGTATTTTTCATTTATATGATTTCACACTTACATTTTTCAGTACACTAAGGCACTTTTTTCTCCCTTGTGTGTTATTCACTTTGAAATAGAAAAATTTAAAGCAATTTTGAAATGGAAAAATGTAAAAGGATATTATGTTTTCACTTAAGGTTAGTCCACACTGACAGTAAATTCCCAACAAATACAAAAAGCAGAGCAAATAATATGTAACATGACACTGTTTTTAATGAATTTTCCCATTCAGTAAATTGCTTTTCAGTCCAAAACATTAAAAATTTTCCATATTTTGTAGCATGAACCAATTTTGATAACTGAATAAAAATCACTTTCCAGTTTTTTTTGTTTTCACTGTTTTTTTCAGTATGATCTAACTTTTATAATGACTCTTTGTTCTTTCATATGACTGGAGTTTCAGCAGAAGCAGAAAACTGTTATCTAATTCTGGTACTGTATGTGACAAGTCCATCAAAAACAAACAAAACTTTGGTAATTTTTTAAAAGAATATGATTTAATATCACATCATTTTACTTTTCCTTTTATATGTTTTTAAAATGTATTATACAAGTAGTAAATTGAAAGTTATTTGTTAAGAATTACACCTACAAATTCAATTGTACAGTGCAGCAAAAATTGACAATTATATTTATTCTGAAGAAATTCAAAAGTAGTTTCACTTCAATGTTTTTCTCACTTATATACTAATTTTCTTGATACTTTTGAAAAACCTATAAACAGAGTTTGACTTTTATAGTTGAGTATTTATCAATGACAATAATAATGCTACAAGACAAATATTATACTATTATTATAAAATACTTAGAATAAAACAAAATCAAAACAATTCAAATACCCAAAATTTTATAGTTATGACTGATCTGTTATGCAAATTTATGGGCATTAATTTCGTCTCATCAATTTAGTAATGATCTTCAAATACTCAAATACTCTTCCAAAGAATATAGGGAAATTCATTGAGTTCTAAATTAGCTGGAGTACTTTCTTTTTAAATAAAATAGAAGGTTTTCAGTTATAAAAGATGTATCTTGCTGAGTCATGTGAATGATAGCCATCTTCAGAAATCAAGATATTACATACTATAGACTGTCTTAATGAAATACATCTTAAAAGATTAGTTTAGCAAACAAATAACTGTACTTGCTGCATCTATAGCTAATGAATTAAATAAGATCTTTCAATATAATTTGATGTTTTATATTGACAGTTATATATTCTTGTCTTTGCAATGTGACTAATAATTTCTTACATTGTTAATTGTTTTTCTTTTATTTAGAAATTAAAATTAATTAATTATATCATATCACATCACATAAAGTATGTTAAACTTTTCTTTCTTTTTAATTAAAAAATATATTCGGTTTTAAATGGCAAAAATTTTATTTTTGAAAATATTATGCTAAAATTGAATGTTTTATTATTTACACTACATTGTATTGCCACAATATTATTGATAATTGAGAAAATAAAATAACTTATATTGAGTTTTAATTAAGTCAACAATAATGACCTGACAAAATATTTATCAACCTGTAAAATATTGTATGATGCTATGTTCAAAATGTGCTGTCAGTAACTATTCAGAATGTTTGCTTCATATACATATTTTATGCTACAGTTTTGAAGTAAAAAATTTTTAATAATATACACCATGAATCAGTTATATGCATATTGATATTACTGTACATAAAAAGTTCATTTAAAAATAAGTAAACTGNTAAAACTTTTAAATGTTTATAAATGTATCTGGTTTATTATTTTATAAAAATAAATTTTAAATATTATAAGTAGGCATACCTTACTAATGTGGTGGGTTAGGATCTATACTACTGCAGTAAAACAAATATTACTTTGAAGTGAATTACAGTCTTTTTTTTCTTGCCAATGCATATAAAAGTCTAAGAATATATTTAAACTATTATTCATTAAGTGTGCAATAATACTAGGTCTAAAAAAGATGCAAAAATAACAAGAATAAATAAAATAACCTCAAAAGACTCTACTAAGAGCAAAGTAAGTGCTGAAAATCCTTATGTTGCTCTTAACGAACATGAATAAATTATGTATGTAATTGGAAAATACCATATTAGTGAAGGTTACTGAAGCAAAGTACCTTAAAGTGAGGTGTTTGTGTGTAATTTAAAAGCTAAGAGTTGAATAAACAAATTACTAAATTTTTAAATCACCATCTTACTAAAGTTTTATTAAAATTACTTCATAGGCAACTATCTGGTGCCACTATTAAAATATCCAATTCTGAAGAGGGATCTAAAGAAAGAACAGTAACAATCTCTGGGACCCCAGAAGCCATCAATCTTGCCCAATACCTCATCAATACAAGGTAGGAAAAGAACTTAAATTTTAAAAGTTCTTTTTAATTATTATATAATCCTTAGATTATTTAAATCTTTTTTCAATAAGAGTTATATAAAAGTAAAGTTTATTACATTAACCACTTCCATTAACATTTAGCATTTTCCTTCTGTTTATTTTTACTATATTGAAAAAATTATATTTTAAAAAGTAATAAATATAAATATATAAGTAGAACACTAATTAAATATTAATTTCAAGTGCATTTACAAATTGGGAATGTGTTAACATAGAATTTAGGTTTATGAGCAACATACAATGTTCCCTAAAAAATTCTTGCATGTTACATTGAAATTATTACAAATCTGAATTTAATGTCATACTTATGATTGAATGAATATATTGTTAAATCAATAAATTCAAGTGATGGTTATTATTAGAAGTATATAGTTTTTTGTTTGTTTTGTAAATTTTTATATTTACTATATGAAGTAACATTTCGTGTGTAAGAGAAACATTTTCATATTTTTAACAAATTAAATTACATCTATTTGATATGAACAGGTTATATGAGTTATTAGTTTGCTCTTTCCATAAAAATAGAATAAAATATTTTTTAATATATAGTTTTATATTTTGTTTTATTGATAATTAAAATTTATAATAAAGATTTGATTCTCTCCCTTTTCAAAAAAATTACTTTCTTGTAAGTTTTAAATAAATAGATTTTATAAGGTTATTGAATAATTTTTGAATGTAGGTAAAGGCCATGCACGAGGGGGTTAAACCCTTCCATTTGGGAAAAATTAAAATATAATAAAATTAAAATTAAACTGTATAATGTATACATGACTTACTTATCTTATACCCATTCAGTTCCTCTTTAAAGTACTGTATTGTGTTACTCTATATTCCTATATGTAAAAATTAATAAATAACGTACGTTAAGAAATTTTTTAAAATTTCCATCCATTTAAAAATCTTATGCATGGGCCTAGTTAGAGTAATAAATATTTTGAAAAGATTAATAATTTTTTTATTTAAAAAAAAATATATTATATTATATTATATATATAATAATTTTTTAGTTTTTATAATTTCATTAAATGTTATTTTATGAAATAAAGTAAGGTATAATTTAAAAATAAATTTGACTATATATGGAAAAATTATGATCAAAAGATATTTTAAATACTAATTAGTTTAATGAAAAATATTGATATTTTTTGTTGATGTAATTTTTACTTCATATGTTTTGTAATATGTATTTTACTAATTTATTATATCTCTCTCTGGAAAGTAAATTATAAATAGACATTTAGTATATTTTTCTATTAAAATTAGTAAAATTTACTTTATTATTTTAATGTTGTGTTCTAAATTGTTTATCAGTTGAAGCAAGCTAATGAAATACTATCTTAAAAAAAAAATTGATATTCTATTTAGCTGTGAAATCATTTTAAAATTTTATAGTTATTGAAATTTCAAATTATTATAATAATTACAATTGACTCTTTCTATTTAAATAAATTTTAAAATAAAAGTTTTTAAAATTCTAAAGCAATAATTGTTTAGAATTTCTTAAGCTGTATTAGAGAGTAATAAGAGAGAATTTAAGTAAAATTCTCTCTTATTACTCTCTAATTCAATGGAATTTCATCAGTAATATCAAAAATTAATGTAAAATAATTGATAGAACTCTGAATTTTACAAATAAAAATAAGAGTATTTAGCATTTATTTTAGAAACTTAATAAACATTTTAAATTGATATAGATCATATGCATTTATAAAATATTTTTACATATTTTTTTATATTGTTTTGCTGAATAATTTGAATTTGGATTCTACTTTCCTGTATAAAGAACAAAAATATTTTTACTTAATTTTATTGCAAATATACTGAATTATTTTATTTGTTTTGTCGAAACTGTGTTTTCTTTTTCTTGTTTTGCTTTCTCTAAGTAAAGGTTACGGATTAATTAAAAAGCAAATGATAAATTATTTGCCAAGTGTCTATAAATTCACCAAGTTGTAACATAGAACCAAGCAAAACAAATACTGAATTCTGTTAGTGATATGTTGGATGAATCTGATAATTATTTCATTTACAATTATCAATTTCAGCCATCATATAATTTTAATGAAGGTAGGTGCTGCTTATTGTAATCACAGATATAGTTATTGGAATTAACACATTCCAAAACATATAAATTAAATAATAATACAAAAGTTTGCTTATTACAATCAGAAATTCATTTATAATTATCATTATAAACATAATGATAAATTTGAATTTACTTAGATGGTTAATGACAGCCAATGAACAAAACCAATAATATTTTTAAGCCATGTTGTTCTTATAAAAATGCCAAAAAAACAGTTTGAACGATTTAATTTAAATTAATTCTATCATACATGATTATTCTTAATGTAGAAAATGTTTGTTTAATCTTGCACTCAATATGGAATACAGACAGTACAGTAATACCTCGACTTACGCTACCCCAACTTACGCGAACCCGGAGTACATGATTTTCAAATCTTGTTGATTCATCTTTTGTTTGAGCGCCACGCAACTCTTGATTACTCACTCTCCCCCCCATACTATTGTTCAGCTTACATGTTTGGATGTGTCACGTGGAATCAACACATAGCTACAATTTATTTTGTGTTATTTATTTCTGTGTTTGTTATATCTACGGAGACTTGAGAGACTCTATGTGGTGATTTCTTGTAAGCATAAACGAATAAAAAGACGAGATAAGATTAACGAGAACATTTATTAGCTTACATACATCCGACTTGGATTTTACATAAATTGCAAAATTATACCCCGACTTACGCGAATTCGACTTACGCAGTTATCGCTCAGTTTCACCTATCGCGTAAGTTCGGGGTATTACTGTACTATAGTTTATGCTGGATAAACTATTCAAATAATTATTATTATAATTAATAAGCTTTTAAGTTAATTATTAAGTTTATTTTAAACATTTTAAATTTTTTAAACATGTTTTTAAATTATCTGATTCAATAAAACTAGATTTTCCATTATTTTCTAATTACTTTCACTGCATAATGTTATCACTTGGTTATTGTTATCAGAATAGGCTAGTCCCAGCCAAAGTGATTACAATAAGCACCTACTATATGTATATATATTTTTGTTTGGTATAGCAGTTATTTTATCTGTATTTTTAACATAAAATTTAAAAAATTTAATTATAATGGAATACATATTTTGTATATTGTTCTAATTTTTTAATTAATGATAGAGAAAAGTTGCATTTGCTCAAAACATATTAGATAAAATAATTTGTCTATTGCTATGTAGTATGTTAGCTTAATTTTGATTTGTTTATATAAATTAGAAGTAAATAAATGATAGATAATAAATTCAGGGATCATTAGAAATTAAATATCAAATATTATTTACTTTACAGTATATAAACTTTAAAAAATACTAGCAGTTTTTGTTATAAACTTAATTCTTTTGCAAAATTAATTTTCATCTGTTGAAAGAATTCAAGATGACTTTAAATGTTTTGATTCAATAATTTAGAATAGATTGAAGAAAAGCTTTTTTTAACAAATGAGTCAGTGTGTAATATAGTCACTCTGTGAAATTTAAATATAAAATATGCTATATCTATTTAGTAATAATGTGTATAATATATTTTATAAAAATTTTCTAAAAAAGTCAAAATTAATCCTGTAGATTGGATTTTTCTAATAAATAGTAAATGTTTTAATAATTATTAAAGAAAATTTTGATTAAAATATTTTTATTATACTATTTCAATCATCTTTACACTGGTTATTAATTAATATAAAGATAATAATAATTTTAAAATGAAAATTTTTGAGAATATATTCCATTGAAATTTTTTATATCACTTTTTTATTTCATGATTATCAATTAGGAAAAATAACCGTAATGAAGACATATTGTTACAGGTAAAAAAAATCAGGAAAACTATTCCAGTAACAGAATCAATACATACCTTGATAGAAAGAAAAGATTCAACTATTGTTTCATTATCTGTCATCACCATATTTCTTTTAAAGAAGCTTTTCAAATTAAATTCAGTTCATTCTGGTTTTCTTGAAACAAAAACTTGATTAATCAGTTTGGACAGTTCATTAATCAAAGAAAAAGTCACATGAATTACTAATTTATTCAAAATTCTCATATTTATCTTACATAAATATGTTGTATTTTTATTTTTAAAGTATTTCAATAATGGTGAAAAAAAAAGAGTAGCAAATGATTGATATATTTTTACATTAAATTTAATATTTACGTGTGATTTCTATATTTTAGAACCTTAGAATAATATCTTTTTGAGATATTTTTAAAAAAACTTAGTTTGTTTCAGTTTTGGTGACAAATTTTAGTTAGATCAAAACTATAATCCATACTAATTCATATATAAGGAATTTATGAAATACTTATTCTTCTTCATAACTTTTCTAAATTTATTTTAAATACAGTTGAACCCCACTTATACATTTCTTAGTTGTGTGTTTTTTGTGATATACATTAAAATATTTTCTGCACAGTACTTTTTATCATTATAAAGCCCTTCAATTATGTATTTTTCATTTATATGATTTCACACTTACATTTTTCAGTACACTAAGGCACTTTTTTCTCCCTTGTGTGTTATTCACTTTGAAATAGAAAAATTTAAAGCAATTTTGAAATGGAAAAATGTAAAAGGATATTATGTTTTCACTTAAGGTTAGTCCACACTGACAGTAAATTCCCAACAAATACAAAAAGCAGAGCAAATAATATGTAACATGACACTGTTTTTAATGAATTTTCCCATTCAGTAAATTGCTTTTCAGTCCAAAACATTAAAAATTTTCCATATTTTGTAGCATGAACCAATTTTGATAACTGAATAAAAATCACTTTCCAGTTTTTTTTGTTTTCACTGTTTTTTTCAGTATGATCTAACTTTTATAATGACTCTTTGTTCTTTCATATGACTGGAGTTTCAGCAGAAGCAGAAAACTG